AGTTATTATTGACATTTTACAAGCATTGTATTATCGTACAATTACCAATTACCATCATTATTCAAATTCATTAATTCGCATTTAACCTATATGGTAAATACCAAATTACAACGTTATATAATTTATGTACCTTAATTAGTTTACTGTACAAGGATACAAGATAATTATTCGCTGAAAAGTGTATTTAGTAATGAAGGTGTTACAGTATATATATATTTTTTTATACAATACTAAGTGACGGGACGAACAAATCCTGCGCCTGGTGGTAAGCGACCCGCCCGTTCATAACAGTTGCAGTGCCAAATTACAAAGATCGGGTTTGTAACATCTGAACCAGGGGTCGATTTAATATTGCAACGGAACCCGAACGAGCCCAAACGCGAGTATCGTGCGATCCCGTGACAGTCCCGGGTTATGTTTTTCTTTGAAATTTTAATCAGTTTCATAGCTATGGTGCCAGATTTTTGGTTATTCTTAGAGGACATTGCGTCTCTAGTACTTATGCTCACCACCTTATAGCGAAAAAATGTAAATCTATCGAAAATGAATTCGGGTTCAGACGATACAAATTTAATGCTTTTCTTGAGGTGAAACTGAACCCGGCACTGGATGCGACTCTAACTTAATATTTTTGACAAGCAACCAGCCCCGGGATCACACGATACTCGCATTTGGGCTCATTCGGGTTCCATTGGAACTTTAAACCGACACCGGGTTCGGATACTACAAACCCCAAAGGTCGGAGGTGCACTGCCACTGCAACCGTCACCATGAGACTTGAGTTGACAAGTCATAGTGTGCCTGTAATTTCACCAGCACCCTTACCCTTCAAAACCGGATCGCAGTAATGCTCACATTAGTGTTTGGCGGCAGATATAAGTAAGGTGGCAGTATTTCCCTGGATGAACTCTTTCACAAGGAGCTCTACTGCTACTAGATCTGCATTGGACTAGCGTGATGGACTACGGCCAAAACTATCTCTTTCGAGGCATAGCTGTGGACCTATTATAATAGGTCTATAGTACTACTACAATATTCTTTCTAATACACTGTGATCCTCACGCATTATTGTCAAATCTCTTTTCGTCAACATTTTCCGAACACCCTTACAAACAAAGACAACAAATATTTGGGTAACCAGTACAATGTGATTTGTGTATGTAAATATATTTAAAAACACGCTATTATTATTATATACTCCAATTTACACTAATTTTACTGAAGGATCTCAAATTGGGGCCAAAGACAATAACAAGACAAATACGTTAACTCCACTGGAAGGACTTGTATATGTGCATTGTGTTGGGTCATGGAAAAATTTCCATAATGAAAATAAAAACTTCTGAAAAAAAAAATTGTCCGGACATTTATTTCCATTTAACTGTTGAAATCTGTTAAAAGTTGAAGATACTGAACGAAAACGACGGAGCCATTATAAAAATTCTTTTTTTACCTATGATTTTTTTTTCGCTGTTATCCAATCATTTCGAAATCTCGTTTCACTACGTTTGTTTCTTGCTATAAAATTTTATTTTATAATTCACACTAAATAAAACTTCAAAAGATATATCTAAACGTAGAGAATAATATGAGCCTTCGAATTATATTTTTCCAATTTTTCAGATTATTTTTCTGGAAAAATTTCCATTATTTGAAATTTCTCGGAAACTTACCTAACAGTACATGTGCACGACGCACATTCGCCTAATCTCGCGGATCGTTGCATCCGCTATTAATTATTAAATTCAAGCGGACGCTCGGTGTTTATAAAATGATATCAAATATCGAGTTCTTAGGTTTTCGCGATTGTTACACATACATAACATAAATGCGGAAAAATAGTTTCATTTCCTATGATATCAAATAGTAGACGTGTTTATTGTTGTACTTGTTGTAGTTTGAATAAGAGTGCCTGAAATTTAGAATTTTTCATCACTTTATTTCTAATTCGTAATCATGCTCTATAATCAAGATACCAATCCACGACACTGGTTTAAAACTAGCAATACGGAGTATTTTCTGCAAATAATAAAACATGACAAACTCCCTAATTTTACCAAATTATGTTTATAACCTGAAGGTACAACTATAATAATAATGTGACAACCCTACGCATTGATGCGCCGAACAGACGGCAGTTGCCCTACTTGCCTAGTTTACACAGTGCCAGTATCATGTTCATTCATACTTAATCAGAGAATTAAAAAAGTAATTATTATGTAGATGTTTCAATAATAAATGCGTTTTATAATTACTGGCATCGAATCCTTATACCGATACGTTATAAATTCCACCTTGTACGAGTATAAGGTGCATTTAGTGTCAAATTATGCACGCTCTGAAACTCAATAACTCAAATGAAATATTATGCTGTAAATGTTTATTAACGCTGCTAAATCAGAATAATGATATATAATGATAATGTAATGTTGTTAATAAACACGAAACTTAACAATTAAAGTGATTAAAAATAACTAAATTACTTATAAAACCGTGGTAGCCTAAGCGAGTGTGTGTAGCGCATCTGATTCGTATCCGAATATGCAGATGTATCTTCTTTATCTGGCTTCTTTATCCGGCTTTCGCAAAAGAATTAAAGAGTTTACGCTTAGGATAAATCAACGGCATCAATCACTAAAGCTAGTTGTTAATTTATTTTAGTATTATTATGACTCGGACATTATTCTTATTAATATTAATTTTGTTATTTTATATTGTATAAGAGCACGCTGCGTATTGTAATTATATTATAAATTGGGTACTGTTATTTTAGATGTTTAGGTTACGGATCAAATCCTTGTTATTCTTTTTAGTTTTTGTTAAATAGGCATAGCCATCTACCTCTTCTCAGGCTCCAGCTGAAAATCAGCGCTGTGGCTCTGCCCAGCATTAAGCTGAGCTGGCTAGCCTTTTCGGATATTAATTATGTACTTAGTAATATATATATATATATATATATTTTGGTTTTTTTTAGTGGCTTATTCTTTAATTTAAATGTAGGTTAATATTATTATTATTATTTGTATATTTTATTTGTAATAGCCGAATAAATGTTTCTTTCTTTCTTTCTTTCTTTCATGTAGAAAACCGGACCCACTTCGGAAGTAGCTTGAGTAGGAACGTGGGTTCGGATCCGATAAAATACGAACATCGCTTGTATACCTAGAGATAAAATGATCCCTGTGAGTTTGCTGATCGTTATTTCTCGGATTCGGGACTAATACTAAACGGACGCGCGCAAACGCTCGTATTATGGTTTGACCTACTGCCTCTCAAGTAGACACCGTAGGTTCGAATTCAGGTTTTTCAGAATTGATCTGCGAAATTTAATTTGAAATTTACCATGAGCTTTCCGGTGAAGGAAAAGTCGTGTAAAAATAATACACTGTCGAGCAAATAATTCGAATCATGTTGCATTTATTCACTATTACCTCAATGCCTTGGGGTTCAAATGGTTGTAACCCTAACTAGCTGTGAACAGGTTCACGGCAATGAAACGGGAAACTTCCGGTCCACAAAATTTATTAAAAGTAAAGTTTAAAGAAAGGGCTGTAACAATAAAAAGGTAAATGTAAAAAAAACAGGTACAACAGTATAAAACACTCCCTACACTTTATTATTAAGGCACTTACCCCTAAATGGGCCGAGTAACTGAATTACAGATATACATAGGTACACGAAGGCTGTAGACTTATAAATTAATACACATGATTTAGCTTAATTAATGATTATAAACGTAGTAAAGAACCAAAATTAGCGATTATTCGCGATGGAATTTGGAACAGCTCCAACTGTTGTGGCGGTCGAGCTGCGAGTGACCGTGGTACGAAAACAAAATGAGAAAGTGAAGGAAGATGGAACAATTCAAATTTAAAATTTAAAACATGTAAAACAAAAAATGATAGGATAGAAGCGGAAAGAGGCGATACAAAGAGGTGAGATGACGGTGTAAGGAGGTCACACCGTCACAGGGTTAATTTACATTGCGGCGAAAGGGACAGCGTATTTATATGTTAACCGAAAAAAAAACGAGTAACCGTCCATTTTGAATACCCTGATGGAATACCCTGGTTTTTCAGGTGGGCTGCTGGTGCCCGCGCGTATACCTCGGGGAGATGAAGCCGCGGTGGCCCCGCGCCGCCGGCACGGCTCTTACGCTAGCCCGTCACACAGTGAGTCGAAATGATGGAGGGAGATATACCTATCGATACATTTCACCACTGTGATGAAAAATGGTTATTATATGATATTACATTATTGTTATTATGGAAAAGCAGTTAGCTAAAAATTGGTATTTGTCAGTATTATTAAATACCTATATTGTTGAAATTTTAGAATCCATATAAGGAACTCGCTAATCAAGCATACAGCGACGAGTAGAACAAGCGTAACTATCGTGAAACACCAATCTCCTTCTTCGTCTTAAGAGCTAAGCTTTTGTCGGTGGAGCAATTGCCAACCGTCTCTGTCCCTAACTTTGATTTACGACATTAATTTTTCGCCTTATCTGATATACATAACTGCCTCTCTTTCCTTCTATATTGTTTCAACGTAAACTGTCATGATGTATCAGATGCCCAAACATCTTTCCTCTTCGGTTTTCTGTTGTCTTTAATATCCATCCCCTTAGGTACAAACGTTTTTTTCGCGTAAGAGGATCGGATTCTTTCTGGTTCTCACGAATTATTTACGATAAAATTTCGCGGCATGCTTAGTTCGAAATCATAATATTCAGCTGTAGCGCGTTATTATATAAAGGTAGCAAATTAATTATATTTTTTTATTTTAGGCCAATGCTAAGCCACGTAATCTGCATCACGTTACCTCATCGATTCATAATACGAATTAGTTAAACATAATTATTGTACACTTTGAGGATTTTGGAACACGCAAAGATCAATCTGTTGGTTATTTATAAAATCACTTCAACTCGGCAACTTCAATTTGGTTGGTTCATTACAACAGTGAGAATGATTAAGTTACTCGTGATTTCATTTGCCCTTTTGGGCTTATGTTTGGGGCAAGATCTCGTCTCAGGGAATAACCCAACTAATACATCAAGTAATATAGGTCAGTGTGGTCCTAATGGTTGCAATAATACGGGACCTGGGCAGTGTGGTCCTAACGGTTGCAATAACCAGGGCAATATGGGACCTGGGCAGTGTGGTCCTAACGGTTGCAATAACCAGGGCAATATGGGACCTGGGCAGTGTGGTCCTAATGGTTGCAATAACCAGGGCAATATGGGACCTGGGCAATGTGGTCCTAACGGTTGCAATAACAAGGGCAATATGGGACCTTGGCAGTGTGGCCCTAATGGTTGCAATAACATAGGACCTATTGGATTTGGTGGCCCAATAGGAAATAATCCAGGCAAGTTTTACCTTTATTACTAAGCAGCTATATCAGAGATAGGAAAAGCGTAGTACATTCGTTTACACTTCGAAGAATTAACACATATAGAGTCCGAATTGTAATCACTTTACTTATAAGTATAGTTACTTTGTTTTAATTTTGTTTTTGCATTTTATTTATAATCATTCCAAAATTTCACAAGTAATATCCACTCTTTGCGTATTATTTACCATTGGGATATATTTATTCTGTTTATTCCGACGTCTGGTATAAAGTAATTAACCAAACACCTTTTTGAATCAGATCCCAATGGTTGTAATAATATGGGACTAATTGGACCTAATGCCTCAATTTAAATAATCAAGTTATATTAAAATGTATATTACATAAATGTTATTTCTTTAATTATTAATGCAAAGATCGAACACAAAGAAAAGTTATTTTGTTCCAAAAGGATTCAAATCTGCGACCACGGGATTAAGAAGGTTCATAAATATGCCACAGAAGAAGTTGCACCAGTCGAAAAAACAAAGAACTGCCTCCGTGGCCGAACGGTTACCATGCCGGACTGCCACGCAGAGGTCCCAGGTTCGATTCCCGGGTCGGGAGAAATGTTTGTATGGCCTACGTTTATTTCTCTCGTGAGTTTGGGTATAATTTGTGGTTGTCTATGTGTGTGTCCATGGCACCCGCGACACATGGTTTCCCTAGTGCGGGGCTATGTTGAGTGTGTGCGTTATTTATTATTTATTTGTACGAAAGTAAAATCTGCTGAATTATTCAAAGAACGGAACATAAGTTGTTGTTTATGATTTTAGCCTTAGAGTATACAATCCTACGGTATAGAGCGCGCATATCGCACTAGTCGCCTAGTTCGCAGCGTAGGCAAGTAAACTATAGCTAATTATATTGATGAGTAGGTGACGTTTAGGGATTGGACCGCTACTGTTGCACGATATCGACATTGGTTCAATAATAATCTGTTAGTTAGATTATGGTTTGTAAAATAAAAGATCCAGTGCAGGATTTTTTTAATAAATCAAATAATAATTATCTATTATTAATATAATTTTTATTGACCGCTAAAAAGCGTAAGCTTATTATAAAGCTGTCTTTTAGTTTTCTTAATATTTAACTTTCGAACTAAATATTTCACGCGTATATCAATATATTTTTGAATCACAGCTCTTAGCAAATGTAGTAAATGATTGCTGCAAGGTTCTTGTTCAAATAAATGCGCGTGAAGCACATGAAATATATCTGTACCAATGAACAACTTCAGCGTTTTATTGACCATGCTTCGAGCATCACGATCTGCTTCATTTTTCGATTCTATATTACTTTTGACTATTTTTTCAGCGGCATTACATAAATGAATCACGTCCTCAGATGGATACATAAGACCTCCTCTGTCTTTAAATAATATAAACGAATTATAATGAGAAGGTGTCGTTGCTATTAAAGCAGATAAACAGTCAACGCACTCTATTTTACATAGTAAATATCTTGTTACATATCCAGCAATATAGGAGATGACGTGCTGTGAAATAATTGAGTAATCTACCGTTGTGGGTAAATTCACATCATCTTCAAAATTACTCATAAATTGTTCGTCAACAATAGCATCATCCTCTTGTGAACATGACCTGTGTCCTTTAGTAGTTAAATTTATGTGATTAACGGATGAAGAACAGGTTAACAGAGTAATTTGTTCCAAGGACGCACAGTTTCCGGAAAAGTTTTCTTTAAGCTCCATATGCACCAAAAGCTTTTTGTAGATAGCTTTGAATTGGGAGACCGACGGATTATTATTAAACCCACCATGGGATCGTATCACTGAAAAAAGGATCTCCAGATGGTCCTGGCTTATTTTGTACATAGCCAAGAAATTAATTTTTTTTTCTTGCTTAACCAGCCTTATGTACAACTCTTTCATGCTCTCAATGCACACACAAAGTCCGAGAAATCCAATTTTGTTTCGTGAATGTACAATCTGTCGATTTTCATTTGGGAACACTAATGTCTGTAGGTATGTTTTAGCATTTTCTAGAAATGTTATATATTTTGTCTCATTATTCTCATTGATGGGAGCTTTGAAGTCAATTCCCAGAAATTTCCGGGAATTGAAAATGTCAAAAACATTGTTTATCACATGAGTAAAATTTACCGTTGCAGCAGAGTTTGCAAAATTTAACAAATGCAGCCTTTTATCACAAAATTCAATAGCTTTTGCCACACTAGCGCTGAATAATTGTACTGCTAGTTTTACCTTCATTACTTGATTCTTAAAATGAAGATGTCTTGTTGTTAATTTGTTAGCTAAGTGAAAATTTTCATTTTCCTGCAAAGTGTTAAGCTCAACAAAATATTGCCATTTAATAAGTCCTCCATTGTTATCTTGAAAAACCTTTTTACTTTCTAAAGTATTTCTGACAAGTTTGACCATATGGCATGGATCAAGAAACACATAGATAGACTGTTCCGTCTCAGGGTGCGGAAAATAGGTTTTTAACTGTCCTAGATCAAATGAACAGCCGAGCTCGCGAGCCATAGCCATGTTTGCCGGACAACCATCGAATGTCATCGATACAACTTCTACGCCGACTTCGTGACAATTGGAAAGGCACATTCGAACTAAATTTGCTCTTTGATCTCCTGTAACGCCATCCACCAAAAAATATCCCACAGGGATTTTCCATCGTCCGTTTACCGCCACCAAAAGAAATACCAGGGCTTGTGTACACAATGCGGTTGTATCTCCGGGTACATCAATTCCTGCTCCAAAGTCCACAAAACCTTCAACTTTGTTGCCATCAAACTCTTTTAGCTTACGTATGGCCATTTCATCGGTAACTAAATTACATAAAATTTTATTTTCGGTCGCCTTTACTTTTTCGCGAAGAGCATTAAATGCTTCGGCAGTAAAACCTGGAGACGCATTGAGGCATTGGTACCATTTCCGGATTGTACTTGGGTGTGGGAGACATGTGTTAAATGTACTCCTTATGTACGAGTAGGCCTTCGGAGAATAAAAATGGAGTGTTAGCGCAAATGTGCGGAGCTCTGGTGAATATTTCTTGCCTTTATTCATCATTCTCTTAAGGAGAGCTGCTGCAGAAACTTCACACGATTCTAGAAGAGCAACTTGCTCTTGTGTAATGAATCTCTTTTCTTTTAATTCGTCTAATACTTGAGACATATTATTAATTTTTTTTTTCAAACGCTGGCGTGTTGCGTAAAGCGCATTGCATCGCATTCGGCGACGTTTAGCTACATCTTTTAATCGAATAATTTGTTTTTTCAATTTTTGTTTTCTTGGGGTATCGCCGACATTTGGGAGAAGTGGACATACGGCTGAAGGCACTTCATGATCAATATGCATATTGTTTGAAGTAGATGGTTCGTGCTCTGCAAACGGTACTTCGCCTGAATTTAATGACGCTGCTTCCGTCGAATTATTATCAGCAGGTGTTGATTGACCAAGAAAAAGGGATGGGACAGCCGTACTTATTAATTTGCGTAGTCCTTTTTTCGTTTCATAGATATTGGAATCATGAAAGTGTACTGAACAAACTTTATTCCATATGTTTGGCTTAAAACTTGTTCGTTTTAAAGCGACAATCCACTTGTTCATCAAATTTCGGTCCTTTGGAAAGCTGAAATATAAGAAAACTTGAAAATTTATTTTATTTATTTTTTATTTACTTCATTCTTCACCTACCAAAATTTTTCAAAATCAATTAAGTAATTTAGACGTTATATAGTAACAATTCATAATTTACTTTTACGCTATAATAAATAATAAGCGCATTAAAAATATTAAAAAGTGGATATATCGTAAAAATTACAACGCACACACATGTAAATTATTTTGAAGTAATAGATAATAAAAAAACAGCCGTATTTACATAAAAAAAGTTTTACAACGTTTAAACTAGTCAACTGTTTTGTCACTATTTTTCAAATTCATAATATCATTTCAAAGAAAGAGATAAAAATATAAATTATCGACTGCAGCATTGGTCGCGTCACATCACTACAATCTCGAGTGGGGAGTGCGGTGCGCGGGCGTACCTATGCGTGCTCGCCTCTCCCGCCTCCTTCACCCCCGTGCTTCGTAATTTGTTTTAATAAAATAAGTATTTTAATCGACTTACCGATGAAATGTGATACTGGATTTCAATTTTGTCTGTTTTCTAGTATCGTTTTTGCAAGATTCAACTGCACATTTGACCATTTTAATCCGTAAATAGCAAAAAATCTTTTGGGGAACGCACACTGATAGCACTTGACAACGACTGCGAGCGCTCGTGGCGGGAACGTCATTTTGTTCTCACTTGTGCCTATTGTTCCCACTTCTTTGCGCGCGCTCTATACCGTAGGATTGTATACTCTAAGGATTTTAGCAATGTAATCCAGCAAGATTATTAACATTTTACAAAATAACCCCGTACCTGTTAAGTCCTTAGATATTCGTAGTTGCTACAAATTGGAAATAAAACTAGTTTTTGGGATCTAAATCAATAATTGGCGCTCTTTACAGGCAACTGTATATTTTCACAATTTCCTTGAAGTCCAGTTAAAAATTGTACCATCTACTATTCAATTTCGCTGTTCTTCCACTAGCCCCCTTTACATAGTCAGTCTATCGTGCGTGATCAGGAGCGTATAGGATTGCGCGCGGGAAAGCCTGTACGCGCAATCGTGCTCGATTACCTGTTTGAAATTTTTTAAGCTGACGTTCTTTCGGGCGCGATTGCTCGTGTTCGTTTTTGTTACAACGGAAAGAGCGTCCGTGTAAATGATAATAGCGCAAGATAGATTGCGTGAAACTGGCGCGTGTTGGAGTGCGCGATTACACGGTCTTTCCCTTTTCCTTCCAACTGTATCGCGCGCGTCAGAGTGTCTCTGCAAAGCCCGCTAATGTTGTACTTAACTGGATCCTCAGTATTGCCAAATAAGCCCATTGGACTTCATGTCTGTCTGATGTCCAAGAATTTGATGGCTTTTTACTAAATAATTATAATTATACGACCTCCGAAGTCGAGTGGTTGCACTACGGTTCTCATGGTGTCGCCTTCTCTGAGGTCCAAGGTTTAATCCCCAGCCGGGTCTATGTACATAACTAACTTTTCTATATCATCTCGGGTCCATAACACATGTGCTTTAGTTACTTACTTTGGGTTCAGAGCAACGTATGTGATGTTCTTGTCTAATATTTATTTATATTTATTTATTTTGTTTTATTATCACTAGTTTTAATCCTAACTACTTTTTTTTGGAACGGTTACACGTTCCTTGGTCGAGGGTAGAATTGCCGTGAAGTCAAAAAGAAGTCATTCCGAGGTCGTATTAAGGCCTATGGATGACGCAAGTATTTTAAAGTCGTAAGCTTGTGTAAAAAAAAAAAAATCTGTTTTGAAATGTAATTGCTTGTTACTAACCTAGGCTTTTAAGATTTTTGTAACTAACACACTATGGACTTATCTGTCTGAGAATAAATAATTTTTAATTTTTAATTTTTTTTAATTTTAAATGCTCTAAATTCCACAAAAGTCCATAGTCAAATATTACATTTATCACCAGGTGGCTGGCAATGTGGTCCCAATGGTTGTAACCTAGGAAGCGTTCAGAACATGCCAGGTTTTCCTGGAAACCAAATGGGGTCGAAGAGGAGCCAGAGTAATTTAAACGTTGGCAACCCAGGTAAGTGTTATTTAAAGCGAGTTTTTAGTTTTACGCTTTTATGCAGGGAAGTACTGCCACCTTACCTATACCTGCTGCCAAGCACTAAGATGACCATTACTGCGTTCCGGTTTTGAAGGGTGCTAGTGAAGTTACAGGCAATGGGACTTGTCAACTTATGTCTCACGGTGGCAGGTGCCGTGTTAGGACCCCTCAAATCTTTGCAATTTAAAGCTCCGAGTAGCACTGCAACTGCTATGGACAGACGTGTCGCTTACCACGTGTCCCGTCACTTGGTGTCATATAAAATAAGTTAGTAAATTCGAGCGTTACAGAGCATACTGATCCTCTTTAAGCCGCAGAATTTTTAACTTACTTAACGACGACTTACGTGAACAGTTAAATATGGTAATAGTTCCCGGTTAAACTAATTATTATCTAACGGCTAAACCCGGGTATTACTCGTATAGCTTCTCTAGTTTGACATTACTGTATGAAGGTTTGGTGCACTTATTTATATATATGTTTTATTGCACCAAACAAATGAAATACACAAAAGAAATATTAATTATAAAAAATAATACGGAAAGCGGTTGAAATCCAATAAACTTGATTTATCCCCTGATTTGTTACCCTTAGAGGTGGAATAATTTTCTTCAAATTTAAACGTGACCAATATTGAGGTGCCTCTCTTCCCACCAAAAAAATAATAATGATCAAAATCGGTTTACAAATCGGAATAATCGCGCAACATACAGACCCAAAAAATAGAGTCGAATTGAGGACGTCTTCCTTTTTTTAAAGTCGATTAAAAAGGTGGGCAAAGTGTACTTATGGCAACAGTGTTAGAGACAACGAAGTAGAAATATAATAAACTTGACAGGTGTAAAGGGTAAATTATTGATATTGACATAAATATTATTAACACGGAATATGTAACGTATAATAATCAACGTCAATATGATTACAAAGTGAGTTCAGTAAGAAAGTCTGCTATCAAGCGTTTCTTCACGGAAGTGATCGTAGGGCTAGATTGGATGTACGAAGGGAGTCTCTGTTTCACAACTACGCCGCATTAGAAGAAAAAGAGTTAAAAAAGAAATATGTGTCAGCCATATATGCGCTATATTTCCAAGGCTTCATCAACAACCCATTCTATAGATCCTACTACTGGACTCGGGTCTCCTCTCAGGTGATGATTTAGGTCATAGTCCGCCACACTGGCCCAATGCGGGTTGGGGACTTCATACGTTTTCCGAGGGTTGTGAACCTTCTTCGATGTACAGATTTCATCACAATGTTTTCCTTCACTGAAATTTTATGGTAAATTTCAAATTAATTTCACACATAAATTCCGAAAAACTCGGTGTGACCGGTGTGATGAAAAAAGTGTGACCCCGGATTTGAACCCACGGCATTTGCTTAAGAGGCGATAGATCAAATCTTCAGGTTACCATGGCTTTTATTCCAATTTCTAAGGTTTACGATGGGAATATTTTTTTGCAGATATTGGCCGAATCGAAAGACCGTGTCCGAACTTGGACATAGATTGTATTCGAAAATATTTCCATGAACACGGTCACTGCGAAATCGTGAAGAATGGTATTCACGAACCGTATCACAGAATGAACAAAGTCATACATTATCTTCCTAGTATCAATGTTACTCTCACTTTCCCGAAAAAGGCAGAAGTGAGAGGATTAAGCAATGGTTTCATTGAAGAGTTCTAGTAAGTATTAAACGATGGTTTCTTTAATACTGGGTCATCATCGCCCCATTTATACGTCTCACCGCTGGGCACAGGTTTCCTCTCAGGCGAGGGTTTAGGCCATATTTCGCCATGCTGGCCCAATACGGGTTGGGGACTTCACACTATTTCCATTGATTATGAACATTCTTTGATGTACAGGTTTCATCATGAAGTTTTCCTTCACTGAAAAGCTCATTTTTTACAAATTAATATTCCTCTTAACATAAATTGCATTTTCATAAATGTACTGTGACGCTAATGTACCTAAGTATCTTAATTTCCTTAAACTTATCTCTCAAAGATACTCTGAGGCCCAAATTGTAAATTACCTTAACCGCACGTTTCTGCAGGAGAAGATCATGGCTAACTGTCGGCCATGGATCTGTAAGGAGCTCGAAACGTCGGGTTGATTAAAAAACCAAAAAGTGTGATTTCGATCCGAAAAGATAACTAGAAATAAAATATGACACTCATAATATATTTAATATTACAGCATAAACAGAGATACGGACAAGGCAGTGCTTGCAATCAACTTCAGGAATATCCAAATTTACTCAAAGAAGTCTTACTTTAGGTTCCATCGTCGTGCAAAGGAACCTGTAGTCACAGAAGACTACACTATAATCGACGTCGGTAAGTGGCATTGAATCTTAAACCCCATAGGATTTGGCTTTATAACATTAATACAAATATCAGGCCATATACGAATATATGAGGTAGTAGGGCTCCCTTTGCTGAATTCCAGCAAGACTTTTGAAATATTAAGTGTCAAGCGTGACTTGCTCGCAACCCTATACGATGGTATATTCCCTTTCAATTTCTACCGCAAATCAAGGCCCCAAATCCGCTAATTGTCTTACAACCATTGGTCATTAAGACTCCACTGAGATTCCATTGCAATTATAATATGTTATTCTCCTAAAATCTATCGCAATGGCAGTGGAATCTCAACAGAGTCAGTGTAATGGCAGTTATGGCATTCATTCAATCAATAACCATCAATGTTGCCTTACTAAAACTACCACAGAAATTATTATGCATATCTTAAGTTTTATCTCTTTTAAACTACAATTTAGTCTTCACATTAAAAATATATAATATCAGTTAACTACGTCATCGATGTGTCAACTACTCACCGCTGAAGAGCAGAATTCAAGAAAATCACAATAGCAGTTGAAAGTCTTAACTTGTAGCAGAATACCAAACGTACAAAATCCTGCCATTGATAACTGAGTGATAAAATTAGCAGACTTAGGATCCAAAGCTGCTGTGTATTAGATTGAAGGTTAGGGAAAGTCAGAGTAAGTTACAGGAGACCACGTCGGCGATCCGTAATATTGAAAATATTTACAGTTCAGCCGTAACCAGTAACTGCATTGCATTAAGTTGATCATCTGCGTATTTGTTGAATAGCACGAAAAATTTGTTAGGAGTTGGCAGTTTGAGTGTTAGGGTATTTTTTTTTTTGATCTGATCTATCTCTGAAATGGCTAAGTCAATTCAGATGTAGTAAAGACTTTATCAAAGTGGCATCTTCGAATAACATGATGCGATTAGGGTAGACAAAAGCACCGACATTAGGTTCTTTATTTTTTTAAAAGGAGTTTCAATTATTGATGAAGAATCCGCCATAATCTTTTTCTTTATTTTATAGAAAAAAACTTTCTTGACTGAGAGCCGACTGAACGACTTGACATACCAAACTTTTTATTGTCATGGTACTAGAAAATGATTTGTTGTAGTGTGTGACGTTGTAGTTTGATGACAATAAAAACTTTGTTATAGGATATTAACAGCTCTGTTAGTTTCTTAACCAACAAAGTTTTTGCTGAGGGTTGTCATTGAAAAAGTTTGATTCCTTGTTACAGTAATTTTAGTAAAATAATGACGCATTAGAGCCTCTTTGTTACATTTAATAAACCCAAATTTTTTTGTTAATGGTTTCAAAATATGATTAACCAAGAATTTAATTTCACCATTCTAGACAATGCATAAATAATAAGAAAATTATAAGAAAGGTGAGGTTAGAACACTGGAAATGTGGTTCTTTTTATCATTTTATAAACTTGCTTAAATTACCTTTATTATTGTTTTTTCAGAAGGACTCATAACCACTTCAATAATTCCCCAAATATATAATTTAGATTTGGAAAAAATGGTTATTTATCCATTTGTCGATGAAGTTAAACAATTTGCTGTAGGACCACATGCTTTCCAGAGTGACGGTGAGTGTGAAATTGGTTTATTGTTTTATATTTATATAAAATAACATGCCATTGGTGAGGTGTTTATTTTTTTATTCGAAACAATTGTAGACTGTAATATTAAATTTATTAAATATCACGATGATTTACTACTATGATATTTAATTATTTTTGTGAAATTATCCCACTAGTTTGCAACTAGCAGTAGCTTCTAAAATCGTAGATCTATATTTTGAACACCTAGATAATAAAATAATTTAAACTGTGGCCGGCAGGACAAAATCGGGAAATGAACTAAATTGATTTTGATCTGAATGTTCTAAGTAAAGCTCTAGAATGAAGTCCGTTGATCTGGTCCTCATAATACAAGGAGCTGCCTACTTAGAGATTAGGTTATTGGTGTGGTTGTGTGATATATTTCATAATTTATTCATATAAATATAGCCCGTTGATGGAAAGAGATTGACTCGAGCTACTGCTGTGAAATGAAATGCTTAACCAAAAATAACACTTGTGTAGTTTTCAACAAATAAAGTTATATTATTTTCTTTCGATTTTCAGATACTCAAGTTCAACTAACACCATTAGCTCTGGCATTAAATCTCCAGTCTGTATACTCGGAGTTCTTCATGTCCGAGACATTAATTTACCCTATTGTGTTTATACAGAAAAATATATGCCATTTCGATATACCTTTCTTAGTCTAAACTAGCCTCGTTTTACTCCTTGGTTTCACTTAAAAACTACAAATTATCAAGTATTAAACATTAAAATGTTATTTATTTAACTAGTTCTCCGTTCTTGCATTATGTCCTTTTTTTCCCATTAAGGAGTTTAAGAGATATAGATTGTTATGTAAATTTTCGTATCCTATTTCTTACTTTTAAAACTTTTGTCAAGGGAAGTCCCAGACTTTTCAACCACTGTTTTATTTTTTAACTATCAACTTTTGAAATAAAGGTTAGTTTTGTAAAATACTTTTTGTTTGTTCTTAAATTTGTGGCATGTTTTTATTTCATTTTACATTTGTACAAAAAATACCTAGGGTCGGACAAGGTACGGTTCTGTCACCGTCGTTGTTACACGTTGAAATTATATATAAAAAAAATTATGCAAGAAAGTAACAAAACTCGTACCACGTCATTACTCAAAGTCTCTTTATGGAATTTGAAATTCAATCAAAAATATTTTAGAATTCAAAATTGATGATTTTGAAAACCATAGTCAAGTTATAATTAAGCGTAAAAATGCCAAAAGTCAAAATAATTTTGGGACACTACATAAATAAATAAAAATAACAACGAGACAAGCCAACAAATCTTTTGCATAATAGACATACATAATTTAGATATATTTGGTACAGCCAATTGGCTTTAATTTATTATTAAATTTATTTTGGCACTAAAAATATTACTTTTGAATTTATTCACTTTATTATTGAAGGTGCGACAATGGTTAAACTTTTTGAAATAAAATTGAAACCACACTAGTATTGTTTTTCTTAAATCAAAATTTTAAAATAGTTTATATTTCCTTTGCCTAGATTTATTAGTAACTATACGTATGTAATTTTATTGATTTTCATTTACGACCTTGACCTTGAAGATTTTCAAAATTTTCTTTAGCCTCGAGAACATCAAACGTAAGTAAAGTAGTAAGTATATTTATAAAACATTTCAAGCCGTGAACTTTCTAAAAGTTCCTGAGATCAAACAAACGAAATTTCAAAACAATGTAAAACCACCTACCTAATTCAAATTTCACAGACACCTTCGAAAATGCACCACAAAGTAATTCCTTCACTAATATTTTTTCTTAAACACAACACGAATTTAAGACCACATACGAAAATCGTACGATGAAAAGTTTTACAGTCGGATTTCGCAAACTGACAAAGCCTCTCTTAGAGCACGTCCTTTCGCGCGAAAGCTCGCGGTCAACTGGAAGCTTCCTTTGCCGCTATTCTACTTTCATGAAATGAACTGAAAAGCACGTCTCACTTCTAAAAGAATATAAGCCATTTTTGACTACAAGACATAGTAGACCTTGTTATTACAGGAACAGAGTGGAATTTGGGATGATAAAAAAATTGTTTTCAAAGTCCTCAACTGTTTGTTTGGGAGGGCCTCAGAGGCGGGAATGAGTGTGTCGGAAAAAAAATAAGCCAACCACGTCTCAGTGAGTTAAGGCTTCATGGGCGGGTATACTGAATATCTTTAATTAAAACTGAAACTTGCAGTTTCAGACGTGAAATGAAATGCGCCAAAAATGAGAAGACTTATCTTTTCATTGCAAATGCTACACTCGTAAAAATATGAGAGTTAATTAATTAAGACCTAGATCTAGTGGTCTGGGAATGCAGGCTGAAATTAAATTAGACTCTTCATAAAATGACGTAGTAAGAGTCCATCTAGTTGAGTAATGCAATTTTGCATGAGAACCAATTTGGGCGCCATATTTATACTTTTGGCGCCCAACACAAAATCTAAGTCTTGCCATTTGGTGCATAGGTCATTAACCTTTAGTACTAGTTATGTAGTTTGAAGATCATGTCGCAATTCACAAGTGAAGAAACTCTCTCTAAGTCTCTGTGTGCAGCCGTGATCATAAATATTATATGAAATTTAATAACTTTAGAAACGTTCGTAATGTCTTTTATAATATCTTCTTGATACTTTAACAGAATGTAATTTTCTGCTTTTTAACTAACTTTTCAGTTATAGAAGTGAGTTTTATTAATACAATTACGAACATTTAGAAATATATTTAAAGACAGTACCTAACTTTTTTTACTGATTCTGAATTATATTTTGAATGGTTAAGAATAATTAATTATTAACTTTAACAACATTTGTATACCTATAAAGTGCTGTTTCAAGATTTTTCTAATTTCTCTTATAGTAAGTTGTGCAAACATAGAGTTAATTTAATAACTTAAATTGCCTTGCATTCATACAAATATCAAGAAGAAGCGTATTCAAGCACAATTGTACTAGTCATAAAGAGCCATCCTCCAATGATACTGGCTATACAAAAGCTTTTATTCCGATTGCTATCAAGTTTATTTGAAATCAATCCGAGATTCAGATTTTAATGGAAATATGAAAGTTACTATTATCTCTTTCCTTCAAAGGCGGAGCTTATCTGTCACGCATGCGTATTAGAGCGTATCTTAAGAATAAGAGATCTTGGTCCTTGATTTTTTTTTCTTTCAACAAATACATGAGCTATGTGCGCCTGTTGTATATAAGGAGTATATAGATAGAACGGCTCTTATTGTATGTAAGTCTTTATCTGAAATCGAAGAAAGGTTCGTGTAGAATGAGATTTAGATGGAAGACTTGAAAACCTCTTCTATGTTTCATATTTAGACATTGATGTATGTTGTTTCGTATTCTTTGCACGGGTGTTCCTCAAGGAGACGGTTTGGAGCCGCAATTACCTTCCCTTGATACAATAAAGCCACATTGGTTATACGTCAAGTGCTCTTACCACATGAAAGTCAAAATAATAAGACTATTTACATGAAACAAAATGTGCATAGTGAAATTTTACAACTTTCCTAGTTAAGTACAAAAAAGTTCGTTCATAGAACCTTTAAACCTCTCTCCTGAAAAATTGTCATTTTATAGATGTAGCCTTATTACACCAAAAGTGCGAATTTTGCAGGAGTAGAGCTCCCTATGACAGAGTTCTTCTAGGGAAGTACTGCCGCCTTACCTATTTCTGCCGCCAAGCCGTAATGTTTGCATTAATGTGTTTCGGTTTAGAAGGGTAAGTAAGGGTGCAGGTGAAATTACAGGCACATGGGACTTGGCAACTTATGTCTCAGGGTGACGGGCGCAGTGGCAGTGCCCCACAGATCTTTGCGATTTAAAAGTCCGAGTGGCACTGCAATTACTATGGACAAGCGTGTAGCTTACCTTCAGGCGCAAGACTTGTACGTCCCATCACTTGATACTACTACTACTACAAATAACGAAACTGCTATAAATGAAGTAGTAAAACTATCTTTTGATTGAACCAAAACAAAGTGATGTTTATTTTTAAATAAGCACAAAATTCAAAGCAGTTGTTCAAAACAAAGCTTGTGCTCTATTTTCAAATTAAATGTATAGGAGTGTTTAATGTTACAATTTTGGATATTTCTAGTTTTATTTTTAAATAGATATTGGTGTCGTTTTACTCATTTGGTAACGTACTTTCGATATCCGTTTAAAGGATTTTAATATGTGTTATATTTACCAAATAATCGCCAGGGCACACATAACGATTACAACCTGTGTACACGTTTATTAGGTACTCAACTATAATTGATTGTGTTTTTTTTTGGATGTCGTAGATATGTTCTTTAGTTCCACACTGAAGCTCATACTGTTGGTGTAATAATGACGACGTTGTCTGCCTTTTTGACAAATTATGAAATTGTGCGATTTATATTATCGTTAAATACGGTAATATCATGCCATTGACGTATTTTGAAGAACGCCATTTTGTATACCGGTCGAACAAAGAAAAAAAAAATAGAATCCATTATTGCCCAAAACAAATTGTACATTACAACTGCAAACAACAAAAGTATGGATAATTTAGTCTATATATAGTCTCACAGTTTGGCACAGGCCTCCTCTCACTGTAGCTCCCACGCGGGCCCAATGTGGATGGGAACTTCACATCATTAAATTGCTCTGAAAATGTATGCAAGTTTCCTCCCTATGGTTTCTTTCACCGAAAAGTTCATGTTTAAATTTAAAATTAAATTTCGCATATAAATTCCGAATAGTCAGAGGAGCAAGCCCGGATTTGAACCCACTACCCTCTGTTTGACACGGGTCAAAACACATTTTTTCAAGGAGATTTATGAACGTCCTCCAACAAGTCACCTCAAAATGTTTGCTTTGAAATTTAAAGTATGGCTGAAAATTGAAAATGCATTGAAGATAAATTACTACTATTCATATAGTTAATTTATTATTAAATCTCTGACACTGCAACTGTTATGGATAGGCGTGTCGCTTACCAGCAGGCGCACGACTTGTTCGTCCCGTTACTCGATATCATAAAAAAACACTTTAAGGGCAAGGGGAATGATATAGCTTGCTGTTCTTTTACCACTAGTCTCATCCAAGCTATCTTAGGGAGATGTATTAAATGAAATCTCTATTTGCATAATAATTTCTGCAGTATCTTAGGTTGCGTACAGTTCTGGTGAATGTTCGCTAAAGGCTCGCTACACACGTGCATTACATAGTGAGGTCTATTCCCGCGCCATCTATGCCTGTTTGCCTTGCGTGAGATGTGGTTACAGAGGCGCACTTCTGTAGGCACGCAGCGTGAGCGCAGCTCATTCGCTAGGTTTGTGCGCACTGTTATAACCCAACGTAATACGGTTAAATTGCAAAGCTTTATTTACAAAATTTTATGACAACTGTATTTTTCCATGATGCAAATAGTAGTAGAGCTCTTTGTGAAAGAGTTGGTCCAGGGAAGTACTACCATCTTACCTATTTCTGCCACCAAGCAGTAATGTCAGTATTACTGTTTTCCGGTTTTAAAGGGTGCTGGTGAAATTACAGGCCATATATGGGACTTGTCGACTTATGTCTCAGGGTGTCGGGCCCAGTAGCAGTGCCCCTCAGATCTTTGCGATTTAAAACTTTAAGTGGCACTACAACTGCTATGGACAGACGTGTAGCTTACCATCTTTCTTGTTCGTCCCGTCGCTTTAAATTATAAAAAAATGCAAGTTTTTAATATTTTTACGTTACAAGACAGTTAGTTAGACATTAGCATTCGTGAAGAGCGGTACACCGCTGCGGGAATCAGGAAATCGGTTAATACTAATATAGAATATTTCTGATAAAATTTATTTATTTATTTCATTTTATTTATTTACTTGTGTTCAGGTTACAAAGACTCCTAAATGCATACCTTATAGACTAACATACATAATAATACAAAAAAACACTCACATAATATATACCTTAAGGAATAGCATACATAGAATATAATAAAACACTACACGAATTGCACTTGTT